CCAGCAACATTAGCCTCCAGGGCGCAGCTAACGTCTCCGTCTGCGTTAAGGCCACATAATCTGCTGAACTATTGAGTAATCAGCACGCTGCTGACTATCAAACAGCGCCAGCAAGCTATTTTAGACTATTTAACAGCATGTTTCCAATACAAGATTCGACCAATGTTTTGCCGGAGGCTCGAAGCCGAGCTGTTGGGAATGCGGAGTAGAAAGTGCACGTAGGAACAATAAAGTGGACTTAAAATGCTTTCCTCTTTTTCATTGAGTAAAACCTTAGAATCGAAGCTACAGGTTAGGAACCGAATAGTCTGCAAAGCGTTTTTGTTTCGATACCAGAGCCAGCTGGGAAAATATGGACACTTGGGTGAAGTGAGTAAAACAACATAGTTGCCAACAAGTCCTTAAACTGTCTCTGACTAACTTTTTCTTGGAAAAACAAAATTAATCATATACCGAGTACACTTTAAAGCAAGGAAAGAATGTGTTTTGTTTTTTTCGTCCTCAAGCATTTGTTTTCAAAAGCCATTTTATTATATTCAATTATATTGTCCCTGAAGATCTATAAGTATATTTGTCTCCCAAACAACTCTTGAAGTCTTGCTCAGAATAAAATGTAATTAACTTTAAACGGCAGCCATGCCAGCGTGTGGCTGCTATTGTTTTCACCTTGTGAGTCTGTGTGTGTCGTTACATTGTGCTCCAGGAAACACCTACTGGGAACTACCACAGAGATGCTTTGTGTACTTCGCCAGCTGTTTATAAGTCTGTGGACAGATATTGACACGGTGATAGCGCCACAATCACGCACAATGCTGTCATGGTTTACAGATGTGCAGTTGCGATCAAAATGAAGGCCGTGTTCGAAGGTGGGGGGTCAGTACAGGGGCGCCTGAAAGGGGGTAAGATGGGGGGAAAGTGGCTCTTTGCTCCACTAAAATACTAGTTTTCCAAGAGTGAAGAAAACAGATAGCGCTGTGTAAAGATGTAACACTGGTAAATGATACACTTGCAATGTATATTTGACACAGTAGCACTTCAAGTAAAAGTAAAACAACAAACTGAAACATTAAAACAATTACTGGGCCACACATTAAAGTGGTGGCCCAGTAATCCCATCATGACTGCAATTTGGAAATGGATTGCTTCTCTGTCAAAGGGAAGTGGTGGAATTAAAACCCAACCACAACCACTGGGGTTTATAATGGGAGACAAAGTGGACCGCTGTAAAGTCGAGTCATTAAGTTTCTCACAACAACCAAAGAAAAAGCAGACATTTAGTCGAGTCCCACATTACTCAAAGTGTGATTTCCCTCCGGTGTGAAGAGGCCGTCACTTCTCAGCTCGCCTCAGGTCTCCGTGTTGACACTGTTATGGGGGATTGTGGTGACCATTTGTCTCACGGGACAGCATGTTGCTGAAATCAGCAGCACATAAGGTGTGAGGTCCATCAGCTATGGGCATATGGTCACAGATACGGATCAGAAGCATGCGAGAAGAAGGCTGGTCGACAGGACTTTGATGAGAGGAAAGAGTGAGTTGCTTTTGAAGTCCTTCGTTTTGTAATATGTACAGTAATCGATTTTAATTTGCATATCAGTATATGTGTAAACCACGTCACGGGAAACATTTTAGCCCTTTTCAACTTACAAAAAAACCAGGGCCAATTAAAATATGCTTAGTAGCTTTCTTTCTGAGAGGTAAATAAGATTGATATCATTGACAGGTTAGTTAATTCATTAAGAGTTCACAGGCAGCTGCTGGTTAGCTTAGCTTAGCACAAAGACAAGGGCTAACAACTGGCATGGCTCCGTATTGTAAAGCTCACTAATCGACATATCTCCTTTGTTAAAAAAAATCATATGAAAGAATAGGTTTCTTTATATATTATTATTTTAACATAAACTTTCATTATTGCATTTTTGTAATCGGAAAAAGAGAAATAACAAAATGGTAAGAAATATGCAAAAGGGGCAGAGCAGAATTAGTAGTGAATGTCGGATCAGTTATTTCTGGCTTACGCTTAAGTATTCTACCAGTTTTGAAATATCTGACATTTCTCAGAAAAGTAAAAAAAAACATGTCTAGGAAACTGTCATTTTGATGAACAACCAGGGGAATGCATTGCGACCAGGAATGGAGCGTTGTAACTCTCAAGACACGCACATAAAACACACACAGCAGCAGCAGCCACCCCCACATACCCGCAAACCTGCATTCCGCCAAAGACCTTTTCCATCGGTTAATCGCGACTCAGGACGATGCCGCTCAATCATTTTGATCACTCAAACTACAGGTGGGGTCAACTGTTGAGCGGATCAGTCCAGTAAACGGAACCGAGAATCGTGAGCGCAAGTGGAAGACATCTTGGAAGGGGGCCAAAGCGTGGCAGTGAGGGGCATTCTGCTCATAACTGGGGGAACGACCTCATTTTCCGAATAAAAGCCAGTTTACATAACACCTCCCTCGCCATGACAGGGAGCACTGGGCACAGCTGCTGCCAGGCCTGCGGCCTCCCCTCCACGACCAAGAGTTCCCCAAAGAAATCACTCTCTCAGGAAAGCCACAGGCTTCCTCTCTGTTATTCCAAAAGTAACATGTAACTAAAAAAAATGGGGGTCTTAAAGTGCATGTGTTGCATAAACACGTCGATAACCTCAACTATTTCATTGCCTGTATTTCGTCCTCTCAGAGCGAGGCAGTGGAAAGGACGGGGAAGCTATTGACCACAGTGATTAAAGCAATGGATCCACCACTGGCTGAATTCTTTACTCTCCTTCAGCTGCATGAAAAAAAGAAGTAAGGGGATTTTAAAGTGCATAATACAATATTTTGATAGTTAAATCACAATTCAAATGAATGTTGAAAAATTCAGCCAACACTAATTATAAGATTAACCCATTTGAACCTTATTTTTTTTTAACAATTCTCAATAAACATTGAGCTCAGTGCAGTTCATGATGGGGCTGAACGAGATCATGACACAAGGCCAAGCAGCAGTCTGGAGGAACTGAAGGATCATTGTGCCCTTGGTTGTTTTTAGACAACAATGGATGTTCACCAAGAAATAGCACATATGAGGACATTTCGGTTCTTTTATTTTTTCATGGGGTTTCTTGATAAATCACCGGCCTTTACCTTATGATTTAAAACCACTCTATCCTACACCCTAGTGTCATTGAAAAACTTAACATAAAGATAAAATCCTTTTGCACAATAAACACATGGTGGCACCTGGTGTGACAAAGTGAAGAAGAGACTGTTCAAATCATCAGAATGTGATTCTCCGCGCTGGACCTGGGTGACACACACACACACACACATACGCTGTGTGAAGCAGGAGCCTCTGTTTTCATTGGCACAGAAGCTCCGAACAGTACACACTATTAGTGGGGACACATTCATCCTCGCATGCATTCCTGTGCAGGCAGATACCAGAAACTCTGTGAGCCCTCAAGCGCTGCCTTCACCTTGTGGATCCCAGTTACCATAATGTAGGAGAAGAAAATATTGTTCAGAAAATGCCCCCACGTCTTGGCTAATGGGTCATTTGAACACTCTTGCCATGGAAAACAAGACGTGTCACATCTGTTACTGGGGTCCTCAGCTGGTTAAGTAAGTGATGTAGCACAAGTCAGGTAGATTTATGGAGAGGAAAAGAGCCCGGGAGAGGCCTAAATAACCGCGATGGTGTTGAACTGTGTAGGTGCGGAGGCCCTCCGGAGACTCGCTGTTGGCAGTTTAACGAACAGCTGAAACATAAACCAGATAACGGTGTGACTTTGAGGTCCACGCCTGGATGCTCACATCTACAGCGTGATTTCACAGCCTTTGCTGTGAAGGGTGAGTGTTTCGTTTATTGCAGCAACATTTTAACGTTTTCGTTTTACAATGGTACAGTTTAAACGTACATAGCGGGTTTTTATAAAAGACAATAAACACACTCCATTATTGCACACCTGCTCCCACATTGAGTATCAGTATCATTTGATCGATGTGCAACAACTACGGCGTTACATGAAAGAAAAACAAAGTGGCATTTGCACGATATACTACGGCCCAGAATTTCCGTTGGAGTTGTCAATATATGACCTAATTCCTTCACATTGCAGCCTGAAGCTGTCCGGGAGATATTTCATCAGCACGCAGGTCGTTTACAGACCTCCCGAGACCAGTCATCATATGTCATAAAGCAAGTCAAAGCATTTTAATCTCACATCTGCTCCTTATTACCATGCAGAAGAAAACTCAGGGTTGGGCTTGGACTATTCCACCCGAGAAAAGGGAGAGAAGGAATCGGAGGGAGATAGAAGATGAAAAAAAGAGACAGAGAGAGAGAGAGAGAGGAGAGAAGAGATTACGGCACGGAGAGTCCATCGAGTTAAGAACTCCGTGTAATCATCCCAAAATTCCGAGGGAAAGTGACACAGTGTTCTTCCAACAAAACCAGATAACTTCCAGCCAGCAATGGCGTCTGCCTTTCACGAGGCTCCATGCAGCACCACAATGGCAGATCCACCGCAGCAATTTCATAGTCCATTCCTCCCTCAGCAACTCCTGGAAACTCCACATCGCCGCTCTACGCTATAGTTATATACGCGCTGTGCACTACAACGTGTGAAAGCGTATGTTTTTGTGGATTATTTTATCCTGACAGTTTCACCTTTGACCCTCAAACTTTTCCAATTCATTACGTATTTCATATTCATATTATAACAGATATTTTATTGTAGTGTATCGCTTTGGCAGTTAAGATGCACACTAGCGCACGTATACTCGCACGCACACCCACATGACTACAGAGGACAGAGGCCAGCCTGTTTAACAAGTAGGTCAAACCAGAGCCAAAGACGGAGAGAGAGAGAGATGCAGAGAGAGGGAGGCTGGAGAAAGCACGGCATTTAGTGCCATCATTGGCTTCTAACTGAAAAGAACCTGAGAAATTCCAACGAATCTAATCTAAGACTTGGATTATGGAGAAATATGCGTGTCGCGAGTCTCACCTGAGGGCAGTCTTTGATGTAATGGCCCTTGTTGAAGCACAGGTGGCACAAGTAGTTGGGGGGGGGTCTTTTGTTTGGTTTTCGTGGCTCAGAAGAAAGGGAAAGATCTGAGAAATGGTCCGTCAGGGAGTTGAGTCCCTCCACGATGTTGTTCAGGGAGCCATAGGGCGACACATTCTTATACACATTGTTGTTTAGGGCCTAAAAAGAAGGACAAACAGAAAAGGTGCAATTAGTCAATGAGTCATATATTGTGTGTAACATGTTGTAAATAAGACAAACAAGGTTTTGGAGTGTTAGAGGAGCTGAGAATAATCACCAGTTTGCTTTGAGAGGTCTTATGTCCTATTTTCTGTTGCGCCCCAAAATGAAACAAAAATAAAAAAAGAACCTTCCATGATCACTTCTCTCATTAAATTCAGAACATCTGGCGAGAGGCCCAGCTGTGCTCACGGACTGGAAAAGTACTCAGCATGTCCACAGAGAAAGAAAGGACTTTACAGAGGATGACTCACTGTAAACAAGATGGGAGGCATGTTCCCCTTTTGCCAGCCTGTGGAACATCAGCAATGTCACCATGCACTGCTCGGGAGCCACAGAGGACGCCGCTGCATGCCGCTGATTCCACAGTGATGCCCTTTGAATATTAAAAACAGGGAACGTACCGGCTGCAGTCCCTTATTTCCCTTCTCGTTTGTCTCTTCCTCTCCACCAGCAGGGGGGAGGGGGGGTTGACCTCCGGGTGAAATAATGTTGATTTTAGCACAGGCGTTTTTTTTGTTTTCAGATGGTGGGGTAATTAACCCCTGTTGAATAGTTGCTAAACAGACAGTCAAACTTGTCATCAGCTTTGACGTTTAATAGTTTTACTACACCAATGTGAAAAAAACGTCGGCGAGTGCTGACGAAAGCCACAGATGAACTCTTCCTCCTCGCTCTTTCTTGTAGCACTGGTTTAAGTCTGGGAAATATGTGGCTATTGACATTCAACGTTGCACAGCACAGAAACCTTAGACTTGGCAACCGGGCCACGGCTGGAAGCCAAATCCTCTATCAGCAGGCTGTGAGATTGTCTTGCTAACCAGCTCCAGCTTTAAAACTCATGTTCATTTATTACACGCAGTCGTAAATTAAGCACTGCGGCTCCGTACTTGCTCAAGTGTTCCCCTCCGCAATGGGTTTTTAGCTCTGTGTATTACTGTGATATTTTATCTCTCTTTTACCGATCTGCCACTTTTGGTTGTAAAAGGATATTTGACAAATACCAAACAGAAGACTTTTTTCAGTTTATGTCCCTCTCCAGTTTCTTCCGTTTGGCCTGAAGTTCCCAACTGTCGGCCCAAAGGAAACCGATTTCACACACACACACACACATCTGCTAATGGTGGGGAGAGTTTGTTTATTCTGTGTGTCCGTGTGGCTGAGTGAGTGAGAGGCTCTGCAGGAGGTCTTGTGTGTTTGTGTGTGTGGCGATAGATGGGTATGTATGCGTTGGCCCGACCACGATGACAACCAATCTGGTATCATCGCCCGATTGTGTCCAAGTGAGGGGCCGGGGAGGGGGGGGGGGGACGACAACTGACATCTTTTATATTTCCACATGTCCCGGGACGGGGTGTCACACTGCGGGGGGTAATCATGCGGTGCATCTACATGTTCCAGCAAGGTCTCTGGTGTCCAAAGTTTCCAATCAACAAGAAATCCATCCATTTATTCCCATTTCACATTGAGTGGACTGTTGTGTGATCCATTGCTGCAAAAACAACCACATTTTTTTTTTTTTTGCAAAACAAATCTCTACAGCTGTTTGTTTAACTTGGCTCGGCCAGTATGGTGAGTTGCAAAATGCCGCCCCCCCCCCTCCCTACACACACACCCCTTAAACTGTTTCCAGACTGTATGTGTTCCCTCAAGTTCGACCAACGTAATACTCGTGCGGATTGAATGCCGTTACACAATTGCGTGTAATGTATAATGTGCACACCCAATGTTCAGAGGACTGTTTCATGTTAAATGACTTCAAAGGGCCTCTATGGTTACCACCATAATAGTGGACTCTGACTCTAGATGACGGATCCACCATCCATCCACTACTTGGGTTTGCTGGAGTTTCCTCTGCACAGCGTCGCAGTAACACAGATCTAAGAAAACTCAACACACGATATCGTCTTTACGCTACCTTTGTGACCACAGTATGCGATTATTCTTCCGTGTGTGTGTGTGTGTGTGTGCGCGCTCCATGGAAGTAGGAAGGTGGCAGTGGGCTCCTTTGGCCCAGTGTGGTCAGCAGTATTAGGCTGTACACATTATCAGCATGTTTGTCCCTAAAATTACACTCGGCTACAAAAATAGGAAGTATTTAAACGAGGGTTGATTTAGTTTGCTCAACCTGGTCTATTTGAAGAAGGCCGAGGCAGCAGAGCTCAGCAGGAGGCTGCAGTGGCCTGCTGCCTCCTGACAGAGGCGTGCAGGATGGAACATGTTTCCATCTGTGCCTCTGCATCTCTCTGCTCACAGACACGTCTAATTAAAACACCCGTAGTATAAACCATAAGTCATCAGTATGCTGACAACATGCGACCTTACCTCTGATTAGTAAACGCCATGTAGGGAAAAGGGAATGTCATAGAAGCATCCTTGTGATATTTAGCCATGTAAATATCGAGTGAGATCTCACTTGCTTATTTAAACTTTAATGAGTTTAAATAAGTTTACATTTCCACAGATATTTACCTGCAGTTTGAGTATAACTGAGGTACTCATACGTAAGTATGTCTATTACTTAAACAATACTTGGCCAATAAAGGGTTTTTAGACAATATTGAAACGTTTCATTCCCTGCAATTTCGATTAATAACAGCAATTAAATGAGTTATGACCGGATCAGCCCACGCTGTGCACGCTAAAACATTTACTGCACAGAAGTGCAACAATCCGCGGATAAACCGGACAGATACGCTTTAACATCTAATCGCGTGCCATCTCTCACCTCATTCCTCTGCAGCTGAAAGAAGTTGTTGAGATAGTTGGAGTTCAGCGAAGAGCTCAAGTCCGCCGGTGCCGGGGTCTTGCTGAAACCGAGATCCGGGTGGGAAGAGTTGGATTCGGGTCTGAATGCGTCGAAAGCGCTGGTCTGGTGGGGGTCTTGCAAGGAGAGGTAGACCCAGTTGAGAAGTTGCGCAGGCTGGTACACGGAGGCACTCGTGTCTATGGCAGACAACAAGCTCATCTTTCAATGCAAATGGCTCTGCTGGATTTTCCACCGCTTGTTTCTTGGACCCGGTCTCAACTCTGTTGCCTCTCTTGCTCTTTCGTTCCCGTTCCCCGGCAGATGGCAAGTTCTCCTTTTTTTAATTTCGGGAAAAAGGCCCTGTCCTCCTCACGCCGGGAGCCTCGTCCCAGTTAAGATGTTACTCAAGAGTCATTTCGCTAACATGTTAGGATATGAAGTGTTTCCCCTGCTCCCCATGGTCCGCTATCTGCCTTTATTGCAGCGGGGCAGAGAGAGACTCTCTGAATATGCAATGAGAACGGCCCCACGTCACCGGGGACGCGGACCAATCAGCGTCCGGCTCCTATGAATATTCATCGCTGGCCCGCTGGATGAGACAAATGGTTCATGTGCTTGTTGAAGCTCCTCATCCCAACAGCTAACAGGTTTATAAATACTCTGCCACATAAGTTGGAAACATTAGATCATTTAATAGACTATCCCGGAGCCATATGAGGCTATGTATTACTTAAGATTTATCATTATTAAAATGTGTTTGTCTGTAGTTGTTGGTATGAGAAAGGGGGTGGATGATACGTGGGGGGTGACAGAGGTGAGTTTCCTTGATAACTTAAATTAAATTATTAAAGGCCTAACATTAAGTCAACAGTGTTTTACTCATAACTGTATGAACTCCAAACAACTTTACTAATGTTGATCAGCCGTCAAAAGAATATTGCTTCGTGAATGCATTAATAGAAACACTGCATCATTGGTGAATAGGCATCGATCAGCAAAGACTGATTATTTATATTAATAAAGTAAGATCAGCACTTCAATGCCAGCGTCAGGCCTCTCTGGCCTCTCTTTTAACCAACCTAAAGGTGATGGCCAGGCTCGTTGGAAGTGAATAAAATCTTTAAAAAGCGCTCCCTCTTGTGGCAAATTCCCTTCACACACACACACACGCACACGCACACACACGCACACAAACAATACCAGTTATGTAACGTTACAAAGATTGATCTTGTATAGTTTTCTTCTTGTAAAGGTATGGGAGGTAGCTAAATATATCCTTGTTGTTGATTGTCATCACATAACAACCATATAAATAAACAATAACCAGTCATTCAGTACAATTACACAGTTGTACTTTAGTAAACACGCACACACTCACACACAGAAATATTAGTATTATTATTACTGCTATTATGTTCACTTTTTACATGCATTTCATCCCCTGCTGTGTTATGATTCCCGTGTTTTATTATTATTTTTTATTTTTTTGCTTATTATTATTTAGCTAGAATTTATTATTTAAAGTGCTTTCTTTCTTGTAAACTGAAATGCTAACGTTATACAACTTCAATTCATTTATATCATTATTAGTTTGATTTACAGACCTGATTGGAGTTATATATGTATCTTATAGAACTAAACTAATGGTAACTAATGGTATAGAACAAACTAATGGTTTGTGATGTATTACATTGTAATATAGAATATAATATAACACACTCATTATTACATGCATAGCCAACACTTTACGATCGTATCAGATTGTTGAGATTAGGTCAACTGTCAATAAACACAAACTGATATGTGGGTTAAGTTATATTCAGCTAGGAACACACGTAATAAACCTTTGTGTTCGAATGAGTGACGCCGGTGTGACACATTTTCCATCGGGCCATTTCTTTTCACCTAACGCCACAGAAGTCCAGTGGTGAATAAGTGACATATTTGCAGTTGTCACATGGAGAAGCGCAGGTGGGTGGGTTCCTTTTAATGGAAAATACGAGCCCCGCCCATTCTCCTTAAGTACGGCAAGAACCGCGGCTGGTAAAAGAAATCCTTCCACCAGGAAGAGACTGCAAGCGGACTCAAGTAAGTGATTAACAACGGAAAACTATTCAAACACACCGAGCTAGCGTCGCTAGCATTCGGTTGTTATATATATGTAAGTTATATTCGGTTGAGGGGCGACTCTTTATGGAGTCGTTTTTTTTGGGGGGGGGGGGCCTCGAAGGTTGGTTCACGTACGCTGTCATTTACGTTAACGTTTCCCGTCACCAGCGCCTCGAGCGCGCCCACTTTAGGCTACAACATGTCCGGCTCGGCTCCGCTTATCGAGTTGCTAGCTAACTAAGCTAGCGGGTCGTTAACGTCGCTCGGTCGGGATGAGCTCGGCTTTGAAATGACACGTTATGTGGCTTATATCGGAGAAATCACTTAACGTTAGCTTGTGTTCAACTACTAAACGTCACAGGCCCGAGGCGGCGATTCATCCGGGCACTTTAGTGCAAAGTTTCTAAAACTCGATTCGTTTATAACACGAGTTAAGTAACGTTACGTTACAAACGTTTACACATCTCCTAGTTGACGTTATAACACGAGCCCGATAGTTAACGTTAGCTATTATTGATTCGCCGAATCTTTTTTTCTTCTACTGTTTTTTCTAAGTGTCTAAGTATGTCTAACATACACGCCCATGCTCACAACGACACGGAACAACACGAAGAGGAAACCTTCGTGGACGCGTTACGATTCGCTAACGTTACGTTAACACTGCCCGTCACCGACGACACCATTGGGATGTTGTTATTAATTACACTCAAGATGGTGACTTTTTTTTTTTTTAAACACCCCGAAATGACAAATGCCTTTACTGGCACCTCACCTCTTCAAGCAAATGGCTTAGGAAAAATATTTTCTTTTCTGACCAAATGCGCTTTAACTTCTGGCGAAGTATTTAACAAAGGCCTTCTGGGTCTGACTGCGCGAGGCGAGCTGTGGCGTTAGTGCGCGTGCCTCGTATCTATCATTAGAGCCGATCAGCCCTAAACATAGACCTCTGTATTGTATGCGGCAGCAACATCTTTTTTTACTGTTGCTGTGCATGTAAAAAGCAGAATAGGCTGCGTCGTTAAGGCCACTAGAGTCAGACTTTCCGTGTAGTTACCCTGCAATCACAGGCTTTTCATGCGAAGTTCCACCAGAAATACAGTTTCCCACCACGCGCAGCTCAAACTGGCTGTGATGCAACTCTCTTTGCTATGTCATGCCTTTTGGGGGACGTCACCGCAGATAAAATATCCTTTGTGGTCTGCTCGGCTGCACTAGTCGATTGTTACCTTACGCCCTTTGTTTGACCCTTCTATGTTGTCCTTACAGCCATGAGCTACCCTGGATACCCCCCTCAGGCAGGTGCCTACCCTCCACAAGCTGCTGGCTACCCATCTCAGCCTGGAGCTTACCCTCCCCAAGCTGGCGGCTACCCTCCCCAGGCTGGAGGCTACCCACCCCAAGCTGGAGGCTACCCTCCCCAGGCCGGTGGCTACCCTCCCCAGGCCGGTGGCTACCCTCCCCAGGCCAGTGGCTACCCCCCACAGGCCGGAGGTTATCCCCCTCAGGCTGGTGGATATCCTCCTCAGGCTGGAGGCTTTCCTCCTCAGGCTGGAGGCTTTCCTACACAGGCAGGAGGCTTTCCTCCTCAGGCTGGAGGGTACCCACCAGCACCACCCCAAGGTAAGCCATCATGCCACACTTTTAAACTGTCACACTTTTTCGTCTTTTACCAAAGGGCCAATCGCTTAATATCATCCCATTTGGCGAATTGAAAGTGCTTGTAGAAAAATGAGATTGAAGTAAATCTGTTAAAAGTATCAGTCAGTTGTGTCTTGCTTGTGGGCATTAGGGATCCCAAGAGTTACAGTTAACAAAGTGGAGTGTGAGAAAATGGCAGTTCCACTAAGAATTCCTCTCTCAGTCTGACATTCTCAATTCTGTAGCAAAATGCATTCTCAGCCTTTCTGGACAGCCTTGTCTTTGTCGTCTGCTGCAGGCAGCTGGGGAGGTGGCCCTGCTGCTGGATATCCCACCATTGGACTTGGCAACTTATCCAACCCTGGATATGCTGGCATGGTAAGTTTATCCTATTAAAAAAAACAGAACATTTTAAATACATAAAATATGCAACCTCATCAGATTATTGCATTGAGTATTCCAGTTAGAATTAATCACACAGCCATTCATGGAATATCAGATCTTTTCCCTTCACGGTAAGACGAAATGTCTGCATCTGCTTCTTGTCCTAGGTCTCTTTGCATGAGAAAACCGATCACATACTTCAATCTTATTCATGCTTCTTAAACCTAGCCCTCTAATGCAACTATTTCTTAATCCATTTAACTTTTCTCAGTCATTGTCTGTCTGTATTGCTTTGTCATCATCTGTTGTATGAACTTGAAATCTATTAGAGAGCATGGCCACACTTTATTTGGAAGATTGTGCATTGTTTAACTGGAATCTTCAATCTTCAATTATAACCAGAATGAGAGAAATTTATTTAGAAATTTGTTGACCATTGATTCATTCCATAAAAATGACTCGTACATCTAAAATACAAATCTGAAATCCAAACAAGGTGTGACCAGCCGCTTCTGCTTTGCATGAAATAATCTTCAAACATGACATATTATGGAATGCCATTCTTTCCAAATCGCAGGCCAACCAGATCTCTGCAGGCATTGCTGGTTTTTCTCAAAATCCGTCCATGTTGGCCTACGCTTCTGGGGGGTACCCACCTGCCACTCAGCCCGGTGGACATGGTGCTCCCTCCCCTAACCAACAGTCCTATGGCCTGTACCCACAGCCAGGAGGGAACATGCAACAACCCCAAGGCCCAGGGGCGGGTTACCCTGGTCAGCCTGGACAGCCAATGCCTGGTTATGGAGGAGCAGCACCTACACCCAGTTACCCAAAGGCCCCTTCACCAAATCCATCCATGCCAGCCTACGGAGGAGGAGGAGGAGGAGGAACCATGCCGATAGCCCCCCCTGTCAATGTGAGAGACGTTGAAAAAACTTGTATTAATGGCTCTCTTTTGTTATGCAATTCCCACTTATAAAGTGTAAGTTACACTTATAACAGTGTAATGTCTATAACAGATTAAAACATTTTGTACAAATAAAACTTGCTGTATTTTAATCTCAGAGAGGATACAGGGGAACAATCAAGGACTTTCCGGGAGCTGACCAGCTTAAAGACGTGGAGGTCCTTAGGAAGGCCATGAAGGGCTTTGGTAAGTGCCATGAATGGAGATTTTGATGATATCCTCCAGATGCACACAACTCACTGGCTGTTATCTGTTTTGGAAAGTGGGTTTTAAACGTTAGATTTTTCTGGGCTGCCCGTTCTTAAATATCAAAGACCTTTGTTTCTACAACTAGAGCCTTATTTGTGTTTCAATTTTGTATTTAGCAAGATATTTGTGATTTCAGGTATGAATGACAGAATATAAGAAATGGTTCGAGTTACAAATGTATCCTTATTGTCTGTTATTTGACACTTCTGTGCAGGAACTGACGAGCAAGCCATCATCGACCTACTGGGTAGTCGCTCCAATAGGCAGCGCGTGCCTTTGCTGCGAGCCTACAAAACGTCCTACGGGAAGGTAACAGTCCTTTTTCTAGCACAGTGTACATCTTGTTAATGTGATTAGGAGAGCATTTATTATTTTTGTCAATGAAAATCCAGTTTAATAACCCAGTTTCTCAATATACTAATCTCAGCTAGCTCAGTGTGCATTATACGAGCAGTGCGTAATGGTGACGAGCAGAGGACAGGTGCGAGTGCTGCTTGTGAAATGGAGAGGCGCTCGTCCGTCTGCAGTGCTCGTTAAAGCCTCACAGCTTCCTGGAGTAGGTCTCTCACCACCGCAATTAATGACAGTTTTGACTTCAGGTTCTGTTTTCGTCTTCAGGATCTGGTTAAGGACCTGCACTCAGAACTGTCAGGAGACTTTAGGAAGCTGGTCATGGCCACGTTGAAGGCGCCTGCTGAGTTGGATGCATCTGAGCTCCACAGTGCCATAAAGGTAAATGCTCACATTGCAATAGTGTTTGTAAAGAATTGCAATAGTTGTAAACGCTGCTATTGGCCCGGGGGATGAGGTTGTCTGCTTAATGTTTTTCTGTCTTCCCGACAGGGCGCCGGGACTGATGAAGCCTGTCTCATAGAGATCTTGTCTTCTCGCTCCAGCGCTGAAATCAGGGAGATAAACCGTGTTTACAAACTAGGTGAGATGCCTCAGGGTGATTGATGCACTGCCCTCCCCTTCATCACACAGCTCCCTAAAAGTACTTTTAATACATTTGTGGATAAGCTCAGTCGATCTAGTTTTCGGGTATCAACACACAATTTGTAAATGGTCATTTTGTACCAACCATTTTATTTAAAATAAGAGACGGAAATCTTCATAACTTTACTACAGAAAGACATTATAGACATTTTAATGAATACTTACAATTTAATTTATTGACAACAAGCTTTTTGTTATGTATCTACAGTGTCCCAATGTCCCTTGCTAGTAAATTTTGTTGTTTGGTTGCGGTGCCTTACCTCAATTACTGTATGTGCGTGAATAGCTGCTAGTATATCGGTCTTGTTTTCAGAAAATGGAACAATGCTGTACAATCCAAAACAGTGCTTGCAACTTTGTCTTTGTGTTGAAATCATCTATTTATGGCCTCTCTTATTTATTTATTTATTTATTGCTATTTCAGAGTACAAGAAGTCACTGGAGGACGCCATTAGTGGGGATACTTCAGGCCACTTCCGCAGGCTGCTCATCTCCCTTGCACAGGTAGATACACACGATGCCAATGAACCATCTCAATACTTTGCTCTCAACAACTTCTGTCAGATTTCATCAGGGATATGCTGTCCTGTATTTTTCAGGGTAATCGTGATGAACGAGAGACCGTTGACATCTCTCTGGTTCAACAGGATGCTCAGGTAGGGTCTGCCTCACTCTCGTTAAGGGCTAATGTTTGTGGATCCATCTGCAAATGGTTTGTTCACACATTTCCAATCGCTAGACTTATTGATTGCAAACGCATGCCGACCTGTGCACATTGCCGTTCTCCTCATAGGCCCTGTATGCTGCTGGAGAAAACAAGCTTGGAACCGACGAGTCCAAGTTTAATGCTATTTTGTGTGCGCGAAGCAAACCTCACCTCAGAGCAGGTATTCTCTATGAAGACATACTCACAAGCATAAACTGGCACAAGTTCAGCCTTCCAAATACATTCAAGGAGGACTGAGAATTGGGCCTGAAAATGTAACTACAGTGCGTAGTTATCCGTGTTACTGATGGTGTATGTGTGTTTGTCTGCATTTAGTGTTTCTTCAGTACCAGCAGATGTGTGGCAGGGATATCGAGAAGAGCATCAACAGGGAGATGTCCGGAGACCTGGAGAGTGGCATGTTGGCAGTGGGTAAGAATAAGCCCACACACGCACACACACACACACACAGGCCTATTCAAGTTTTTGGTTGGTCACACCCATGGAATGTGAGTCACAATCAACACTACATGACGAGCGTATGTGTTCTCCTCATCACATCTTCGACGTTACAATCAATTCGTCAAAATTTCCTATGCTACACGTTGGACATTTTATTACAGCTATCTTAATGCATTGAAAAAGAACTGGAGTAAGGGATGCTGTTGCGTAATCTCATATTCTGCCCCTTTTTCCCAACATTTTTCAGGGTTATGGTACAGTAATCTGTTTTTAGATGTGGTTTATAGGAATCCTTTCAGTGGTTTTTCACACCCATTCTAAACGTTTTCATTGTGAGGTTGTGCAGTGCAGTGCTCATTTTGCCATTTGTTTTTGAGCCGTTTCATTGCACTCTTATGTTTTTGTTTCTGAATTGACATTTCCTTCTTTTTTTTTTTTTAAATATAAATGGAAAAAAAGCTGCACTAATTAGTATGTAGCGAGTAGTGGAAAAAATCCGACAAAGCGCAGCCCTGACCACCTATTGAAAAGTGGTCATGACAAACATTTAGCAAAGACTGAGGGACATTATCACACTATGGCCCTCATGTCTGCTGCTGTTGTGTAAATGTGGTGGGCTCACACACGCTTAAAAACAGTAGAGGGGCATATAATCCTCGATAGGTACGTCCTCACGAGAGACACCGCCTTCAGTGTCCATATTGGGATTTCAGGAAATGGGAAAACATGATTAATGCAGCTTTAAATTCTGCTTATTGCCAACTTATTATATTCTGTTGTTGTATGCCAGGCTTATTTTTAAAAGTCATTAAAATATGGCTGTTTTCATCTTCCCTACTTTGCAGTGATAAATATTAGAATAGTATTTTTATTTTTACGGTATCTTCTTAGTAATTGAGTGATTTTGTTTGTTATTAAAAGGAAGCAAACCGTATGAGTACACATTGGGATGTTGGTATTAAGGAAGTGTTTTCTTTTCCAGTAAAGTGTATTAAGAACACACCTGCCTATTTTGCTGAGAGACTTTACAAAGCCATGAAGGTGAGTAATCTGGTCTTGTTTGGATTATTATTTTGTGTATATATATATGACCTAAAGAGAGATCAAAATATTCAACTAATGTCACCTTCGTTGTGTGTGCGTGTGTGTGTGTGTGTTTTCAGGGAGCTGGGACCAAAGACACAACCCTCATCCGGATCATGGTCACCCGCTCTGAAGTTGACATGCTGGATATTCGCCAGGAGTATGTCAAAAACTACGGCAAGTCGCTGTACACACACATCTCTGTAAGTATCATCATTTATTGTGTTAGTAAAAAAATTACCATTGCATGTTAAAAGTATTTAAAAGCAACAAGTAAACACTTTTAGAAAAATACTGTTTTCATTAATTCACTTATATTATACATTTATAATGAATGTCTTTCTTCTATTCTTTATATATTTTCTATATTTTTCTATTAAATATACATATATATTTCTTGCAGTACTTGCTTTAATTTCTTTTGATAAATACTCATTTGAATTGATCATGCTGTACTTACTATGTTATGCACCAATTTATAAAAGCAAATCACTTTTATTTAATATTCTTCTTTGCAGTAATTCTAAATCATTTGCTGACACATTTGTTTTGTTGACAGGGAGACACATCAGGAGACTACAAGAAACTCCTCCTGAAGTTCTGCGGGGGCAGTGACTGAGAAATAAACAGTCTACCGCATTAGCATTATTCTATAGATATCTCCGCTCTGCCATATTTTTATGCATTATACGCAAACTGCAAGCTGCATGCCATGCCAGTACTCTCAATACAATGTTTACCTTGTTTAAAAAAATGAGTATATAAAGCTGTTTACTTTTCTATATACAGTATGCAAACAAAAGTTGTATATTTTTATCACTATTGATATATTTGCTGGATATTTTTGGTTTGACCTACATCGCCATACAATAAATATGAAAGGTAGATAGAAATGGATTTATTTTATATTTTTGATGTTATGTTTAAATTCAGCCATTAGAGACGTCAGAAATCGAATGACATCAGGTCATTTTATAATGTTCAGCAATGCTGAATAGATGAGACATATTATGAGAATACATAGCAGCTAATCATCAAGAAGATAATTCTATATTTTGTTTATGTTTGTATTGGTTCGTCAACTTGTGCTGTATTTGCATCAGATGCTTTTATTCATGTTTCACTCTTAGTTGCTGTTGTAGCATGTTAAACGGAAGCATCACATTTCATAGATTGTTGGTGCTTCTATCTTTTTGACTCTCAGAAAACAGATATTTTAGATCTTTTCCTTGACGTATTTGAGGTTCATCGCATGTAATACATACTTTATTTGAAAAGTGCCATAAAGGAAAAGATCTTAAGATTCCAAAGAATGTCTAGCATTTCCCTCTACTGGTTAATCATCCAACGACAACCTTGATTTATTACATGACACATTTACCAGTTATCATATGCTCTAAAACTGTCATGTCTCCTCTAATGCTGTCCACACTTGGTTATGGACTCAGGTGTCCAGTAGAGGGCGTTGAAGTCTCAATCCAACCCAATCAGCGACACGTTTCGACACGAATGCTGAGCTATGAAGACTATGGATCATTATAAAATGAGATTAATGACAATGGTCACAATTCAGTCTGAATTCACACTGGCAACGTTGCGATCGAGTGTCTTTATTCTCAAATACTGAATGGGAGAGAAATCGGGTGACCCTTAAACACGCATCATTCTTCTCAATCGACACACGTACATCCTTTCTCTCTCTCCGTGGATCATCACGCCCTGTTGCCTTCACTTGAAATGCTGTCGAACACGCTTGACTGTAGAAACTGGTCTCTGCGCACCGCTGGCTACACTCGCATGTGCCCGTTAGCTGCACTGCGATCAATAACGGTGGGGGGGGAATGATGGCCTCCTTAAAGCTGCCTTGGTCACATTAAACGAGTCCACCGTGTGTGCAGTGCTGCCAGAGGAATCGTGTTTGATCACATCCAGCTCAAATTGACCAGAAAGGGCTTGAGGCTCTTAGATCGATGTTAAGATTACGACAACTAACATTTCAACGAAGATTAGCTGCGATTACACCGGTTTCGAGAGGAGAATTTAGACGTCATTATATGGGTTTTATAAGGTAATTTCAAAGGGTTTCAGTATGTCTCTGCCAAGATTTCAGTTTGATATCATGATGAGAAACCTCCATCTGGCATGCAGCTCAAAGCTTTGTGTTTCTCTGTTAATTAAAAACCATGATTTGCTTAATTTATTGTCTATTATAGCTGATGTAATCATTTGGAAATCCTCTCAGCGGGCCGCGAGGTCTAAGGTATTGTGGGACAACAAGATAAGTTGATTCTATTTTTAATATTTCACAGTTACGTCCAGGGATGAGTGTGCACAACGCAACCCTGGCAATGATGCAGCTGATACCAAAGTACAAAACTATTTTGGGAAATTGGTCTGTTGAACACACTCCTACGCGTGTGCTTGTAGAAGTCTGGCAGGTTTTTTTGCACTTCTAACCGACATCTGAATCTCTGTTGATTGTTGATTCTAACAAGTCTGTTTAATAGCACAGACAAAAAGCAACCAATCCTGGACCTTTAATGACGTCTACGCTGCAAGAAATATAACAATAGCTGAAGTGATAACAATATAATAATATAATGCTAATTGCTGTTGAATTCTCCTTAATTTATTCAGGCAAATTTATTTGAGTTTATCATATTTTAGATATTATTATTACTGTTAGGGGGAATGTCCAGTTTTTCGGGGGGGGGGTGTCAAAATATAAAAATGTTTTGCCCCCCCCCCCTTAGCACAGACAGCTCCCCGTCGCTGGATCTCTATTCAGACAAGCATGAAGAAAATCTGTTCTTATTTTCAGTTTTAGTCAATTTCACCAGCATAAGTGATGCTGACAGACTTTTTAATAAAACATAAAGCTATTATCCGGCCTGATCCGGGGCTGTTTGACGGTCAACATTTCAGTCAACTATCAGACAGCTGTAGAAAAACCACCCTTGTTGTCTAAATAATACACTAATTCCTACCCCTAAGATAAAAAGCACCAGGCTGTCTTCTCTATTCAGATCCCCAGAAATAGGACACAGACATAAACGTCCAATCTGTCAGTAGTTGGGACCTGCTTCCTTTTGATATGAATGAATTGTAATTAATTATTCATCCGAAGGGACAGCACATGGTTCCACAGGCGAGGGAGCCAGCATGTTAGAGAAGGAGAGAGAGAGCGGGGAGACAGTTGTAGATGTCACAATGAGATTCAGTGCATGCATGAATAAGGTCACGGTTTGAGAGATATGCCTGCAGACGCCCGCCTCTGTGCCAACAATCTTTATTCAGCCGTAGAATGGAAGCTGAGTGCATCCATCTTCATCATACTATATCTCACAAATCCGTCTGCAATACACATTTCATTTGTCTCCCTCACATATTGTTTGTTCGCATGGCTCTGTGCTCTCTTCTATCAAATTCAAGAGACAGATATAGTACACTGCAATTGGTTGCAATGCAGCAACAATGCAGCTACATCAAGTATTGTGCAAGGACCGAATATAATCCTTGTATCTTCATTATTGCCTAAACAATAACTTGTTTTAACTTGTTTTTTTTTCAATCATTGTTTGTGTATGTAAACTAAATCTGTTAAGTAATTTAACTGTAACATAGATAAACTCCAAAGCATACATCTCAAATACAATTAAATGTGTAAGTTTCATTCCACCACTGCAGACAACCGAAAAACATTTTCTAAATAAAACGGTTGATAAACTGGATGAGGAAATAGTTCCCCCACCAAATTTACCACCATATTTCTGAAAAATCTCCTTTTTCTCGTGCAAACCTTCTCCAGTCTCGCGTGGGATCTCGACGTACTACGGCGGATGTGTACGCCCATTGATGAAATGGGTGTGTTTTCTGTGCGATGCCCCGCCCCGTTTCGCCTTATACGGTCATGGAACTGCGCGTTGATTGACAGCGGGCAGCAGCTGCTGAGTTTGCTCAGACATGGCGGAGGATACAGCGTAACCGGGGGAATCATCGGTGGAGTTACGTGAGTTTTCCACCGGCGGTCGAGTCGTCCGGGGGGAGGGGGGGCGCTTTAAATGACACACGAGGGGGAGGAAGACGTGTTCGGTCGAAGCGCACCGCGAGCGGGAGCGAACGACGACCCGAGCCCCCTGACGCGACGTGAAATGGGGAAACGTATCGCCGTTTAGTGCAGTCAACACCCTCGGGCAACAAATATGGCTTCTCGTGCCTTTTTCCACTACGCTATAAAAATTGATCTCCCGTGCAACCTGAAGCCGTGGTGGCTCCGGAGTTGAGTTGCTCGGTACTTTTTTGATAGGCGAGGACGCCCCCCCCCCTCAAACCCCCCCCTACTTGGCCAGTCCGCGCTAGCTGGGGAAGCTACGGAACTAGGCAGCGGATAGCCATGGAGCCCAAGCACAAAGAGTTGCTAGACCAGTGCCACCAGAACTTACTGGAGTCCATAACCGACGCGGACCGGGTGATCGAGCTGCTGATCGTCTCCGGCACCTTGAGCCAACTTGACCGGTTCGAACTGGACCAGAACTGCTCGTCCAGCGCCGAGAAAGTCGACCACCTTTTGAAGATGCTGATGAGCAAGGAGAGCGACCATTTCCTCGACCTGTGCGTGGCCCTGGAGAAGGCGCACCCCGACCTGTGCGCTGCCCTGTTCGGCAACGGCGGCGGACCCGTGGACCACTCCACCGGTAAGGGGGGGGTCTCTCACGCACGCACGCACACACTGACGCACATGCGCACACACACGCTGCTGCTCTCTACACGGGGGCTTTTGTCTGGAAGCTATGCAAAAATAAATAAATAAATAAAAGCAGTGCAACTAGCCCCCTCGGCGTAGCGATTGCTGCGGAGAAGCTTCTGGGTGGTCCCGGCGACCCCCCCCCTCCTCTCTCGTGTGTGCGTGTGGCTGCGCAACAGCAATGTTTATTAAGCCCCGAAATCCGTATTAAATGAGGTGTTGAATGCACCAAACGTGATGCAGTGTACCTTTTTTTTTTTTTAAATAAATGAGATATATACCAAATGGTTTGCAGGTCTAACTGGTCGGATTGTTTTCTGCCAAATGCTATTCTGTCATCTGTGTGAGCCATGCTGCCCTAAAAAGAAGAGTCACTGCAACACACACACACACACACACACTAGTACCTGCCTTTAGTCATCCGTGTGTGTGTGTGTGTGAGAGACTGTTCATTAAGAGGGGGAAAAAGCCCGGATTGATTCATTGCTCAACAACACTAACCCCCCCGATTTGTTCCCAGTGGCACTGTATGGTTATGGTACATTAAGTAACCTGTTTCCATGACAACGGTCGTACCACTGACATGCTGGTTCATATCCACCTGCACGTGTGTGTGTGTGTGTGTGTGTGTGTGTGTGTGTGTGCGTAGCCTGCTTGTGCGTGCACGCACACCTAAAGCATGGTTTGGATTCCGCCATCCTGTTTTGGACAGCAAACGTGCGCTCGCGTCCTCAAATCGAAGCAGATTCTTCCCTCGCTGTTCCACGTAGTGGTTCAATTCGCGTTGCCCTCGCAGCAACAGCATCCCTCTCCGCGTCGCACAGAGACGAGGAGAAAAGCAAACCCAGTGTAAACGCCTCGTCTAGTTTTGCCTCGTTTGAATGACCGAAGCCAGTGGCTCGTACGCACAATCGCTGTCGTGCCCCACGGGCCTTGAATGCAGGATGACCCTTGAGATCTAAAACTGGGGAAGAGCTGTAGAGAGACGGGTCGGGGTGCTGCTCCTCTTTGTGACGTCCCAAGCAACAATTTGTGGGCCGTCTCGCAGATCACGCGCGAAAACATGAGATCCGTAGTTTACAGCGGCCCAGTTGTGGCGTGTTTCCGCCACAGACGGTGTCAGGTGGTGGCGACTGGATCTCCGCTTTATTACCTCCCCGTACTGACTGCGCTGCTCCAACGTAACGCGTGCACGGACGGAGCAGCTGGACTGTGTTGCTTGGGCCTTTTGTTGTAGACCGTGTGCACCGAGCCTTTTTGAGTTGACCTGCCGGTGTACTAGCGGGCGAGTCTGACGAGTCCTCCCCGTGGGTTATTCAACAGAGGATTAGACCCCCGCCCTGCTCTCTCTGGTGCAAACTCTCCCCTCTGCGTGACACGCGTCATCGCACCTCCACCGTCCTCCTTACTACGCTCTCGGCCTCTCCCGCTTTTGGACTGAAGTGTTTTTGCCTTTTCATTATCCTTAAGTGCAGTCGTTCGGGGGGGTTTTAAACGCACTCGGCGAGCCGCTAACCGAGGTACCTCCAGTGCAGGGAGGCTGGTAGATGCTGCTCAGAGAGGTGA